AACCATGATCTGCTCTGCTTCAAGTTCTGCTTTCTGCCATCTTGTGATGCTTTTGGACTTCCCAGCACCAGTAGCATGATTGTAAACCTTTATTTTCTTTATAAATTAATCCTGTCTTGGGTATGTATGTATGTATTTATTTTTAGTCGACAGAGGGGGCATATGCTTGCCAGCGAAATGGAGAAAAAGAGACACAGAGAGAAAAAGCACCAATCCTCCCAAATAGGGTGTGGTAATGTGGCAACTCCTTTTCCTCCATTTCTCTGTACAGTTGAGATGATCGCAAATATGCCTGGGTATGTTTTTCAAGCCAGAAATTGAACCATGGTCAGCCACGTGGGCTCCAACTTCCTTAACCACTAAGCAATGAGTTGTCCTAGTCTTGGATATATTTATTAGAGATGAAATAACAGACTAAGACAGGTTCCAAACAGAATTTCATAAGGTGTTATCTCTCTAACACTTGAGTCTGAGTCCAACATGTTGGGTGTGATTAGAGGAAAATCTGCGTCTTCAGTGGGGCCATGAATACCTGTCTGTCTCTCTTCTGTTCTCCCACTGTTACAGAAATCTCTGTGATGGCCTCATTAAGATGCTCTTCTTGGCTAGGTTTTAGGAGACAATTGTTGGAAATTTGCCTTCTCTAATATACTGGCAGCAATGAACACTGTTCTAATTGTTTCTTGATATCCTTGGGGATTTGGTTTCAGGATGCACACCTCTTGTCCCCAGGATATCAAAATCCTCTGGTGTTCAAGTCCTTTACATAAAATGGCAAAAAATTTGCATATAATCCAGGCATATCCTCTAGTATACTTTAAATCATCTCTACATTACTTATCTAATACAATGTAAATGCTATGTTAAGTAATTGTATTGTTTAGGGAATGACAAAAAAATTGTATGAACACACTCAGTACGATAGTGGTGTCGTAGGTTTAATTAGATAGTACATGTCAGCTGCAACATATTTCAATCTGTGGTTGGTTGAATCTACACATGCAGAATGTAAGGATATGAAGGGGTGATTGCACTCCTGTAGAGTATCCCTTATCGAAAATGCTTGGCACCAGAAGTCTTTCAAACTTTGGAATATTTGCTTACCATAATATCTTGAGGGTGGGACTCAAGACTAAGCACAAAATTTATGTTTCATATCCACCTTATACAAACAACCTAAAGGTCACTTTATACAATAATTTTATATTACAGTATTTTGATTATAACCAATCATGTGAGGTCAGGTGTGGGTTTCCACTTGTGGCATCATGGTGGCACTCAAAGTTTCAGAATCTGAAACATTTTGGACTTTGAGATTAGGGGTGGTCAACCTGTATTGTTTTGCTAAAAACAGAAACTGTTGCTCCAGCCTTTATCACTGTTCTTCCTTTTCAGTCCACAATCAGCTTCATGTATCTTACTTCCTTCCTCCATCCACCCACCTCCCGACACACACACTAATTTAGGCTAGTCTACTTGTGATGATCTCTTATTCTCATAAATATGTTCTCCTTTTATTTACTGGTTGATACTTGGTTTGATGATGCTTGTGCTTATTCTGTAGTTTACCAGTTAACCTAGTCTATACCATAACTGATAGTCTATGTCTTCTAGTCTGATCACACGCCGGGTCTCCAGTAGACTATTATAACCTCAGTTTTTATATCTGGGCAGCAAATGCTTTCATCTGATAGCAATGAACTATACTTTGTCATTTGATAATGGCTTTCTAGATGGCTATAATTTTTTGTCTTGTGTAGCTACACAACTGCAGTCTCCAACTTTTAAGAAAAATAATTCTTTAATTTTATTTATTATTTCTTAATTTGGCCAGAGAGAGAAAGAGGAAAAATAAACCACCGGGTTTGGGACTTGAACCGTGTCTGGCCATGTGAGAGTCCAGTGCCTTAACCAGTAGGTCCACTTCTAGTCCAGTCCCCAGTTTTCTTATCATACATTCACATCAGTATATTTTTTGGGAGTATGTTCTTCCAAATATTCAGAGTATATACATATGCTACCATCGTTTAGCTTGTAATTCAATCACAATATATACTTAAGGTGAAGTTAACAATAGTAGACACAAAACTACATTTCAAATAGTCTTCTTGATGATTTACTTTTTAGTCAAATTTTATTAAATTGTCATTTTAACTTTGAAATGTGTCTGTCAAAGATTTGATACAAGTGTTAGTTCTATTATTTGCTTGTTATTTCTTTGCAAAGAACTCTTGCAAAGTAATTTATCTGTTTTGTGGGGGTTAATTAAACCTAGATAATTAGTAAACTCACTTAATTGAACCACACATGGCAGTAAGTCACAATATGTTAGCAAGGACTGAAGGGGTGGGACCAGCACTGCCAAACCCTGGGAATGGGTAGTTTCCACTTTTTTCTGAGGACATTTTCTATCCTGCTGTAGGCCAAGGGACCATTCTATGGATTGGGTACAGGGTTATTCATTCGCCAAGTAAAGTATTAGTTGACTTCAATGCCTTTCTTTTTAGATTATAATTAAGCATATACAGGTGTCCTCATATTTTTTTCTGCATCCCAAATGGATTGCCTTTTACTACCCCTAAGTACACAAACTACTGGGATGCTTGGGCCTCTTAGAAATTATTAGTTCTAAGAACAATTTTTCAGATAGGACAGGATGTTTCTATATAAAAAGACCTGCTGGCTAAATTGCTTATCCATTTCATAGAGAGTAAAATAACTGAATTGTCTTTAGAGATCCATAATTTGCAAGCAAAATCTTCACTCTATGAAATGTTCTAAGCAACAGCTGCGAGCATTTCAAATGTGCACTACTCTTTTAACAGTTCAACTGTTGCCAAGGGAAATTAAGTTGGCTTCAAAATCTTTGGTTTTAATTCTGCATTTGCCCTCCATCAGAAATTGAGGAATCAGATTCTGCTTGGCTGGGATACTGAACTTCCATGAGAATTGTACAGGAAGTTGACATCAGAAGTGTAAGTTTCTTGAAGGTAGGAACTAGGCTGGAATATAATTTTATAGGGCCTTGTGGTTATGAACTTTTTCAGAGCAAAAATGGGCAGTAGCTATAAAAGAGGTCAGTCATCTGGAATCAGTGGTAGAGCCTGATTCCATCTAAGTCGTCTTACCCCATTTCCCATTTCAGTTCCAAGTAGGAATATTTTTTATCTTTCATGGCACACAAACTATTTTTCCACACAAGAGCCATTTCTGGGAGTGAGGACTGAGATTTGCAATACTTGAGTGTTAAACAACATAAGCAAGAGAAATGCAAATGCATTTTTCTTTGTCATTTGTGTATATATTTATATACAGCTGTCCCCTAACTGTATAGAAAGCATAATGTTATGCTAAGGGGAAAAGTGATGCTTCAGAACAACACACACATTATTTATGTAAAAAGAAAAATACTGGAAGTACATCAAAATGCTGAGTGAGTTGTAGACATAAGAATAATTTTTTTGTCCCCCATTTCCTACTTTTTTTTTTTTTTTAGCATTTATTTATTAATTTATTTTATTTGTTGTGCAGTTCAGGTAGCTAGGTCCAGGACTTGAACCTTGCCTCGCCATGTGGGAATCCAGCACTTCAACCAACACTTCACCTGCCAGTCCCATTTCCCAAGTTTTTAACAACTGGTATTCTGATATTCGTAGTTAGCATTTAGAATTTTCCTTTTTTTTTTTCTCCTCTTCAAAAAAGTGTATTGATATATAGAGTGCATTAAAATAATGGGCAATCCCAGAATACTGTCTACAAATGAACCATTTGGCCTAGAGTTCACACTGGGTCGTAAACATATTTCTAAATATTTTAACACTTGTTCTAAACAGACTTAAATGAAGTATTTTCCATGAAATCCTTCGTATCCAAAATGCCAATTAAAAACTCACAAGCTCCTAATTCAGAGCTTCTCTAGCTTGGAGCAGCGGCTTGAATGACCCCACAGCCACAACCACCGCCGAGCGTGCGGGCAGACAGCGTTCCCACGTGCACAAGATACAGGAGCACTGGTCTCGAGACTTGCAGGCTTCAGGGAGCTGATACTTAAAACTGACGTCTGGGGAAAGGCGGACGAGGTTATAGAGGATTCGAAGCGTTACCCGACCCTTGGCCAGGCCCTGCGGGTGTAGATTTCAGTGCCTGGCCTCCCATAAGATTCAGCGGAGAGTGACTGCTGGGGGCTTTTCAGCGAGCTACAAGAGACCCATTGACACAAGCCCTGGGGCACAGACGCGGGTAGGGTAGTTTCTTTTCTTGTCGGTAGCGCCGAGTCCCGTCCTAGGTAGGACTCCCGGAGGTCAGAGGGACCACCCGACTGCTGAATGGGGTTGGATCAGGCCCAGAAGGCACCCCCACCTTTAGCCAACCCTTGCCCTCGCAATCCTCTAGTTCAAGAAGATAGCTGCCCAAAGCTCCGCATTGCACCTACAGCCATCCCGCAGATCTGCCTGTCGCACACCTCCGGGGATTAAAGAGCCTCTCCCAGGCCTAGAGCCAGCTGCGACTCCCTACCTCAGCCGGCCCAACCGCTTGGCGGAAGCGGCAGCGGCGCGGCCCGAGAGCGCGGCTGCATCCGGGTCCCTCAGCCTCGACCCAATCCTCGGTTTCCTCTCTTCCCACCCTCCAGTTTCTCCGCCCCCCCGCCGCCAATCCCTGATCAGCTCTCAGCCGAACATGCTGGCAGGGGAGTGAAGGCGGACGCCGGCCAATGGGGCCTCGCTTCCCGTTTGAAGTCTCCAGTGGGCGGGCGCCAGGGGCGGGCGCGGCTGGCCAGAAGGTTCGGTTGCGCGTGTGCCATGGACTCAGCCGCCCGGTGAGATTGACAATAGGAGAGAGAAAGGGGC